TTAAAGTCTGGGACTGTGATACTTGTGGCAGTGGTCTTGTTCAACACTGCTAGCATTAGAGAAATACAAAGCAAAACTATATGGAGATTTCGTCTTATCCCAGAAAGATTGGCCTTGTCAAGAAATCAAATAACAATAAATGTTGATGAGGCAGGGAGAGGGGGAGAAAACCTTTCCACATTGTTGGTGGGTATGTAAACTAGTTCAACTACTATGGAAATCAGTATAGAGATTCATCAGAAAACTACAACTAGAAATTCCATTTAACCCAGCTACATCTATATGCCCATCAATAGATGAATGGATAGAGAAAATGTGTATTTTACACAATAGAGTACTGCTGTCATAAAGAAAGATAAACGAGTCATTTGTAGGAAAATGGATGCACCTTGAGAATATAATGTTAAATGAAATCAGTCAGAGACATAAGTTTTAAATATCACATGGTTTCTTTTGTATGAAAAACCCAAATTACAAATACAGAACAAAATAAAAGATAACAGGATGTAGGGAAATAGGACTTTCTCAAATGGGAGGGGGATCAAGAGCTACAGGATGGAGGGAAAGGGGACAGAAAAGGGAATTAAGATGTGTCATGCACATGTATCAACTATGCATAAAGAATATAAACATGTAAGCTAGGTGTGGTGGCTCATGCCTGTAATCCCAGCACTCAGGAGGCTGAGGTGGGAGGATCCTTGCGAGTTAGAGGCCAGCCTGGGCTACAAAGTGAGCTCAAGGCCAGCCTGAACTGCACAGCAAGACCCCGTCTCAAAAAAAGACACACACACACACACACACACACACACACACACACAAAGAATATAAACATGTATCACAAACAAGTACTAAAAATGATAGGAAAAAATGATAGGGAAAAAGTAAAATAGATATACTAGAGATGATTACAATAAAACTACAAAGTATAATGAAAGATGAAAATATTTTGAAATACTTTAACATGTAAAAAAAATAAAAATTATAGTTACTTAAAACAAAAGACAGTATATATCGTAAAAAGCAGACTAGATATCACTGAAGAAAATTTTAATTAACTAGAGAGGAGACAGGAGTAGGAGCACATCATCCAGAACGCCGCAAAGAGAAATAAAGAATACAGAGCATGTGCGTACAATTAGAAGATACGAGAGAGTAGACATCTAATAGAAATTCAAAAGGAAATGACCGGGGACAGATAATGGCTACAGCTTTTTAAAAATGAAGATATGAGAAGCATGATAACTTCTCAACAGGATGATGAAGAAAAAGTAATTTACACTAGACAGATTAGTATAATTGCAGAACATTAAAAAAAAAAAAAAAAGACTTCCGGCAGGGTGGCGGGACAGTAAGCAGCAGAGTACACAGCCTCTGAGAGACACAGTCCAGATGCTGGAATGTAGCGTTGTGGGGAAGACAAGAGTGAAGGAAGTGGGTCTCCTGGATGCAGGAAGACTCTAAAGTGAGAACTGGTACCCACAAAGAGAGTAAAAAGAAAAACAAATGAAAAAGGCAGTAGCTGCTGGAGCGGAGCCTTCACCCGAGTCAGACTCGCTGAGTGAAAGGAGCTGTTGGAACCTGGGATGCACCGTCTTGGTGACAGTGGTGCCTGGCAACCCCAGAGACCTCTGCAAAGAGATGCGGCAGTGGAGGGGAGTGGTGGATGTGGAGGACTGCACTGGCTGGTGGTCAGTGCAGGGCACTCGGTCCTCCCTTTGGAGAGAGTGATAGCCAGGAGCTGGACCAGATAAGCCCAGAACTAGAACTGCTGCCAGCTTCTTCCAGTAGCTCCTAACTGGATACAGAATGGTGGAAATTGCTGGGACTGAGCCCTGCCCCTGCACCCATTCCAGTAGCCATTGAGGAGTTCCCTGCCGGTGCCCAGCCTACGTCTGCAGGCAGTGGCCAGCCCCATTCCCCTGTGTACTCCAACAGCCATCCGTGGGGCTCCCTGCCAGTGACCAGCTCAGTCTGAAGGCAATGGCTGGCCCTGGCCCCATGCACACTCCACCAGCTATCTGGGAGCCACTGCAGGCTAGGAAAAACAGAAGACAGCCCTGCCCCAGCGCGCCCAATGGCCACCATCAGATAGTGGTAGACAGCACTGGCTAGAAGAACCAAACAATATTGCTTCAGAGAAATTGTAGCCAATGCGGGAAATGCTTGTGACCTCACTATGCACTTTTCCTGAAGAACCCAGGAATATGTCAAGACAAAGAAGGAAAGGGCAGTCTCTGGTCTCCAATGCAAGCAGAGCAAGTCTAGGAGATGTAAAAACAGAAGAGATCGGGAATCACACACCTGAAATTTCTTAAGTGATGGCAACTGAAGTAAAGAAACAAATTCATGAGGCTATAAAAGAAATTAGAACAGAAATACTATTTCAGATGAAAGAAGAAATGAAGGCTGGGGGTTTAGCTCAGTGGCACAAGTGCCTGCCTCACAAGCATCAGGTGGTGAGTTCAATCCCTGGTACAAAAAAAAAAAGAAGAAGAAGAAGAAGAATGTAATAAAGGAATTGTTAAGTACCTCTAAAGACAGATTAAAAAAAAACTAGAGAAGCATAGGAAAATGAGGGAAACCTTGAATGAACAATATAAAAAAGATTTAGAATACATGAAATAGATTCAAACAGATATCCTGGAAATTAAGAACTCCATTGAAAGCTGGAAAAACCACATGAAAGAAACTGAAGATAGATAAACTTAAAGAGAGGTTTGCAGTTTGTGATCCCGAAAGAAAAGATGTCTTAAAAATAACAAGTAACAATTCAACGGCTGCAAGACAACACAAAGAAACATAACTTAGTAACAGGTGTGAGTGAAAAGGCAGGCATCAACACAAAGAATATTAAAAGTCTATTTACAGAAATAATATCACAAAACTTCCCAAGCATGGGAAAAGGAAGTGACACTTAGATAAGTGAGGCAAATAGGATTCCAGCTAACCATAATCCAAATAAATCTACATCCAGACATATAATCAAGATCCCAGAAATTCAATGTAAGAACAGAACATTAAAAGCTGTTAGAGAAAAGAAACAGATCACCTATAAAGGCAAATCTGTCAGAATCATGATAGACTTCTCAATCATCAAGCCAAGAGCTTGGAGTAAAGTATTTCAAGTCCTAAAAGAAAACAACTTCCAACCCAGATTGATGTACCCTGCAAAACTATCTTCCAAAATTAATAAACAAGATACTTCCATGACAAAGAACAACTGAAGGAATTCATGATCACCAAACCAACCCTATAAAGAATATTGAAGGACATTCTAGAGAGAGATGAAAAAGACCTTGATTCCAGGAACAGCAGTAGAGAGGGATCATCAAGTGGAGACAACTGAACGGAGGGGAAAAGTAGGCAGCCAATGGTGGTAATCTAGCCTGGCAGAGAGGAGTCAGTGCATGTTGGTCACAACCATTAATGTAGAGGGCCTCAATTCACCAATAAAAAGAAACAGACAGAGTGGATCAGGAGACAGGATCCATCAATATGCTTTGTACAACAAACACTTTAACTAGAAGAGGGGTTCACAGACTGAAAGTCAAAGGAGAACAGGGTTCTCTGCGACAGGGAACCAGAAAGAAGTATGGGTAGCTTGCCCATCAGCTGCAGAGTGGATAAGAAAGACATGGTGTTTTTATACAATGGAAAGCTACTCAGCTATAAAGAAAGATAACCTTGAGGCTCTTATAGGTAAATGGATACAACCTCAGATCATGCTTATGGATGAAATGGCTCAGAGTCACATAGGTGAATATTGTGTTGTCTCCCTAGTATAAAAAGCTAATGGAGTTAGTGTGATCCAAAATGCACAATACATATTGTGTCTAAAAAGGGAAGGTAGTGGCCATTGTTAATCTATTATTGTGATTTGAAACTCGTATTGCTTTCATTGTTCTGTTTAGTCTGGTTTTATTCTATTTTGTCTAATTTTATTATATTTGATGGCATGGACAGCTATTTCAAAGATAACAAGATACACTATGGTAGCCATTATTGATTTCCTATTATCTTGTTTTGAAGCCCTGTATTGCTTTTATTGCTTTGTTTTGATTGATTTTATTCTATTTTGTTTTGTTTGATTTTATTATGCCTGATGGTATGGGCAGTTATTCTGAAGATAACAAGAGGCATTATGGTAGCCATTATTGATTAGCTTTTATCTTGTTTTAAAGTCATGTACTATATTCATTGTTTTGTTTTGATTGACTCTACTCTGTTTTATTTTGTTTGGTTTTATTCTCTTCAAAATAAAAATAAAATAATTTTAAAAAGCAAAATTTTGCAAACAACTAGAGAAAAAATTATTTTAAAAGTTAAAAGTCCATTTTAAAAGTTAGAGCCTATTAAACAACAACTTCAAAGAATGGAAGGAAAACAATTCTCAGTATTCTTAATGACCATTTTTTCCCCATTTATTTCTTAAATCAAAGGTGAAAGATGCGCCAGCAGGTGATAGGTATGATCAGAACTACCAAGAATAGCAAAACCAACAATATCTGTGAAGATACTTGTTTCAGTGGAAATTGCACCCACTTCCTAAATGAGAGATAGAACAAATGACTTAGGGATACGGTTCCAGAAGCTTCCACATTTACACTACATTTCTGGCCAGGAGTTGGCAGCCTTAGTGGCATAGGCTTAGGCAGGAATATTTACAGAAAATGTTAAGTAAACTGATATTGTATACAGCACAGTGATTAAAACGTAAGTCTATGTAATTAGACTAACTAGTTTTAACTGTTGCCGTTGCTTTTCATATATTGAGTGAATGTGACCAAGTTACTTTCCTATGCCTTAGCTTTTGTAACTGTAAATCATTGTTTAAAAAAGTTTAAGCTAAAATGTGTAAACCATTTGTATCTGCCATATAATAGGGGCTTAATAAATGCTAGTTATCATTAATCTTGATTATAGTACTATAATTTGATCATGCAGTTTTAAATAATTATCTTTAATCTGACTACTGAAACTAAAACATATGAGACACATACTCTAACATCCACTGAACAGCCCACAGTCCACGATGGATTTCCCAGCACTTGATTCTGGCACAGAAGATGAACTAGTGAAGATTTCCCAACACCTATAAAGGAAATAAGAATTCAAATCATACAAAAGAAACACTGAAATTTATTATGGCGAACATAAGACTATGTGGCAATAATGACATTTAAAGAATTTGATTCTTTCAAATTAGCATCAAAATGAGGACTTCTTAAAATAGGAATGCTGCATCCTGCCCTGAACTTTTTGACTATAGCAGATTGGTTATGCGGATCTATGGTTTTGTACTTTTACTGTGTCCTCTGATGATTCTTATGCTCCTAGCTTGGAGAAATACTGGTCTAAGGTAATTTTATATTAACTAATCCTGTTTCTTTTCAGTGATTTAATCTATTTAGTGTATTTTATAATCACAGAATCACCTAATTGTAGTGGTTAAGGTGTCCCTCCATCCTGCATATCCACACAGACATCCCTTCCACAGAACTGTTCCATTATCTTCAACACTGTCTGTGACAGGGCTCAACATATTCAGACACTACACTTCTCCCACTAACGATTTATTAAAAGAGCAGCTAACCAGTTGGCCTTTAGATAAAAATAATTCTACACTCTTTTTCTACAAGATGGCCTTTTACTTTGAGGCAACACTTTATCTCCTTTTATATTTCTTGAGCTTAGGTCAACCTAATTATTAATACTAAGGGATATACTTGGGAGATCTGTATGAAGAAGAAAAGGAATGAACTCTCCTATATAATATCTATGGGTGCAGCCACTCACTTCTTTAACATCACTTTGGGATCCCATTATAATAAGCACAGTTGGTATCACTAGCCGTGTAAAAAAAAGTCACTAATCTTTGTATGCATTTTTTTTTTTTTTTGTACCAGGGTGCAAACTAAACACTGCACACCTGCCAGGCAGGCACTTGAGCTACTGAGATAAATCCCCAGCCCTCTGTATGCATTATTATATATGAAATCATCAAAGTTACTGCCTACTATAAAAAGTTGTATTATAGACAACCTAGAAAATACTAGAAAAAATATCAGAAGACCATTATTGTCAATATGAAGGTTTATTTAATTCCTTAAGAAGGGAACCTCTATAAGCATATGGTTATTATAACTACATATATGGTATGCTTAACCAATAAAAACAACACAAACTTCTGCTGACGATGGTTTATGCTATCTCTAATATAACACCCATCCTCACTCCATCACCCCTCCCACACAGGCCTGTCAATTAAAAATTCTAAAACATTTTCTGACTTCATATGGGTAAAATAAAAAGACCATCCACTAGGCCTCTCCTATACATTTGCCTACAGAGCACTTTAAACACATTAATACTTTCATTTGTTTATTCCTTTTATTTATTCTATTTATTGCCTGGAGGGTTGAGGCTGGACTTTACTCATCTTTTTATCTTTAGTACTCAGAAAAAGGGATCTTAATGTGTATTTATTTAGTGTCCAACAGTTTACGTGTTAATACAGAATTTTCATAAACATTTTAAATATCTCCTTGGTGCTTCAAAAAATAGATATAAATAATTTATTAGTCTCCCACTATTAAATATTTATGGTATTGTGAAATTTTTACTAGGCAAAGGAAAGCTTTCACTTGTTAAATTTTTTTAAAAATTATTTCTTTAGTATATTTTACCAAAAGTAAATTTAAAAATGTAAAAGAAAAAAATTTAAAGTTCTTGATATTGATAAGCAACTTTCACCTGGTTATATTGCCACCAGTCATATGTGCCTGCATAGAAACTTGCTCAACAGTATCTTTTTTTTTCTTTGCTGATTTGGTAAAAAAGAAAAAAAAAAAGTGACCTCTTGCTTTAGTCTGTATTTCTTCACTTTTTGGTAAAGTTTTACATTACGATAAGTTTGAAATTGTTGCTCTCTTATGAATTCTCAGCCCATGTGCTCTGCCTATTTATCTCCTGCAAGTTAGTATTATTTTTATGTGACATTTTATATTAAAAACATTAACCATCTCATATAATTGAATCCAAAATTTTCTAAATTTCCCTATTATTCCGATTTTTAAAATGCAATTAAGATTTCTAAGGAGTCAGATGTGTTTTTGTACTTACTGCATTGTATCTGCTATCTATAATCTATATGATACAGTGAACTTTGTGTTTGCAGAATTTAGATACCAGGTTCTAGCCACACTTAATAATTTTGTCTGGGTAAATATCTTTTTTTTTTTTTTTGGTGTTTTGAGACAGAGTCTTAGTCTGTACTATAGGACTATAGCCTGACATTGAAGTTGAAGCCACCCTCCTGTGGCAGCCTCCTGAATGCTGGGATACCAGATGAGTGCCACCACAACCCTGGTTGGCTGGATAAAGATCTTCATGCAGATGTGCTGTATAGATCTTCATGAATTAACTGTTTTAGCTTTTAGCCAACACTGTATGAAACAGTTGAAATGCTAGGACATAGTGGCTAACTATTTCTTTAAGAATTTGGGGGCGGGGAGTTCTGATTCAATTTTAACTTTTGAACTAAAATAGATTAAAAGACTATCTTTGAATTGCTTTGGGGAGAAAGGCCCAACATAATCAAATAAATATCAGCTCCAAATCAGGTGCTGCTAATGTTAAGCTCATTCCTAATATCTGAAAGAATAAAGACAAAACAGTATGTGTATGTTAGTGAGACTTTCTGAATTCTTCAACAAATTATCAAATATCTCTTTAGCATACAAAAACCCCTTTAAATCTCATTCCTTTATATATTTGTTGTTGGTCTGCTCAGGGAACCCCCGGGAGATTTTTGAGGGTGAGGTCCCAAGATTAAAGAACACACATGTGCAAGACATCAACAACAAAAGCAGGCAGCAGGAGCAGAGCACAAAGGCTGCCTGCATCTTTACTGTATAATTCTTATACAGATTATTATCTCATATTTACATTCTTACACAGTGCTGTAACCAGCACATTCATGTTACCTATACTAAGTCATGGTTACGTAAGTGTATCCCGCTGTGTGCCTGTGACAAGCGAGCTCCCATCCTCAGGTGTCCTTAGACATTCCTGAGCTGTCCAGATTTGTGAAAGCCTCAAAATTTCAAAACAGAAATATCTTTCTTCAAAAACAAACTTAGTAATTTAAAGTACAAAAATTGTGTTTTAATCTATCGAAAAGCAAATCACTGTTAAAAGGAAACTGATAATAAGACTATAATTGACTTGTACATATAGCCTAATAGTAAATATGCAATAAGAGCAGTTTCCTGGTGGGCATAGCTGCTTCTTGCTTTACAACCAAAGCATATCGGAGCTAATTGGACATTTTTCCCCATTTAGTACAGACACCAATTCTATTAGTTAATACAATGTATTGATTCTATGGAGTTTTTTTGTTTTTTTCCATTTTAATTCTAGGGATTGAACACAGAGCCTCTGCACAGAGCTATATCACTAACCCTTTTTTATTTTTTATTTTGAGACAGGCTGAGCTCGAATTTATAATTCTCCTGCTTCTGCTCCCAGAGTACTGGGATTACAGGCTTGTACCACCTTGCCCAGCTTGATTCTACAGTTATAAGCCTAGCACGTAATATAGTCCCTGTTCAAATATATAAGTCAACTAGTTCCTATAGTCTCAGTTAGACACAATAAAAAATGGAATCAAAATGCCCATCTAGTCTATATATCATAAAAAAACTGTTAGCTCTGGATTCTAGTTTTAAATTGTATTTGGTATTACTTTTGCTGAGTCTTCATCTGTAAAACTGAGTAATTATATTAAATTGACTTCAGCTACATGGTGGAAAAAAATGAAGGTAATATAAACTGGGATTTTGCTCATGGAATTTCATAATGCAATTCTTAGTATATTCAATGCTTTCTGTAAGATACTTTGTAATGCAAATAAACTTAACGTGGAAAGTCCTTAACTTTCCCCATTTCAATTTTATACACTTTCTTTAAGGCTAAGTTTTAAACTTTTTGGGATATGTTCTCTTTACCTCCAACACCTAGCACAGTATCTTTGATGGCAGGAAAATCCAAAGATCAATTCCAGAAAACTCCTGAATAAAATGCATGGTTATCATTTATCTGGTTCTAAAGGAGAACTTGACTGGAGGTGCTGGTGGGAAAGAAAAGGGCCGTGCGATGGAAGGAGAAATACAGACTTCAACTGTGGTTCACAAATGTCCAAGATGCGAAAAAATTAGTTAAATTGCGCTCGATATTTAGTTTCAGTCGCGTCACAAAGTGGCCCTTAATTTCTCTTTTCTCTACAATATAGCACATAGTTGATTTCATGAGAATAAGGAAAGCAAGGAATCCAGGATCACCACTTAAAATTTCATTGCATAATACAGATTACTATTTAAGTGAGTGGGCCCTGGTTCAAATTAGTTTTGTTATTTGCATCTCTCCATCTCACTTTTCTTATTTGTAAAATGGCTTTACGGGCCTGATCTCTGAATTAAATCCGTTAATATATGCAAAGCGCCTGTATGCGCCACTTAATTGATTTAAGGAATAAAGTCTCTCGAAAGGCACAGTTCTTCTAACTTCTGCATGCTTACCACGGAGCTCAAAGCAATACTCAAAGGCCGCACACTTTTAAAGCAAGTGACAATATACTTTAGGTTGGGGTCATCCATCACTTGGACGTGCAGGCCAGTGAAGACTGAAAAAGGTCAGCGCTCCGCGCCTCCTACCAGCGCAACAACGCCACTTGTCAAACGGAGCAAAGTCCTCTGGGAAGTGTAGTCTTTAGGCCTCTTTAGTTACGGTCTAAAGAGCCTGGAAGCTGGTAGGAGACACAGTGAAAGGTGTGGGGGTATTGGCTAACTCAAGAATGTCAGGAGCCCTAGAGACGGATTAGGTAACTCACCGGAGTCTCCCAATACTAGTACCTTTACCCGATCCAGGGACGCCATCTTGCCATTGCCTCCTCGCGGTTAACGCCTGTTCCGGGACTCTAGACCAATCAGAGAGCGGCTTGGAAAACCAACCCCTCAATTTCATTGGCCACTCGGAGTTTGACCATTTTGATTGAAGTCTTCACTGTGGTGATTGGTCCCTCTGGTTAAAGGGAAAGGGTGGTTTCCAAAACGGGTCGCAGGAATAAGGCGTTTTCTTTGTCGCGGGAGTGGCGTGGGCTCCTGTAAACCGGTAGTTGAGGTTCTGAGGGAAGCTGTATGGGGGGAGTATTCCTGGATTCGCTTCGGTAAACTTCGGTAAACCTTATTCCTTGTCCCCAGTTCCCTGGCCTGGCGTCGTATTTCTTGGTTTCTCTTTTTCGCTCCTCTTTCCTTGACCCCGTCTGTCTAGCCACCCTCTTGCCTTGGTCCTCCAAAGAATCCTTGACCATGGAGCTGCCCGGGTGCGACCCCGGGCAGGACAAATTGGCTGCGCCTTGCATGGCCCCGGGCCTATCTGAGAGAGTCAGAGGGAGCGTGGGGTCCGCAGTGGGGAGAACAGGACACTGCTGATCTCAGCTCGGGCGTCGCGGTTAGTGCAGCTTTTTATGTATGAAGGTGGAGCGTGCTGTGAATCACAGTTTGTAGAGTAACAGAAAACTGCAGCCAAATGTGTACAATACAGGCTCGACCAGACCTAAAATAATAATAATATACTGGAATAATCGAATTGAGCGCATTGTATCCGCTCCTTTTCTTTTTATTCTCCCCGCAGTCAGCGTGATTTTTTTAAATCACAAATTTGATTCGATCACCTCCTGCTTAAAGCCACAATACCTGTAAAAAGAGAATGCCTTACAGTTGTCTTTTTCTGTTAGGGAAGCAGGAGTGGAGCAAATGAGTGGGGAAATTGTCAGGATAGGAATGTTGTAGGAACACGTGGCTGGGAGATGTATGGAAAGTTTTTTGTAAGTACTTGACTAGCATGCCAGATTGCTTGCGCGGTTCTTTGGTGAACAAGAAGGCGCAGGTCTTAAAGATAGGTATGGAGAAAGTACAAGAATGGAAAAGAGGGTGGGAACGTATGCTACCAGGGAGGAACGGCCTCTGAAGAAATGTCACTTGAAACTTGAAGGCTAAATAGGAAAAGGAGCTTGGACCTTGCTTCAGAAGCAAAGGGAAAATATATTTGACTCATGCAGTTGAGAGTGTGCTGATGTCTGTGAGTATCAGTGTGACAGGATCAGACCCTTTATTTCTCTGACTCTGTGCCTGGTATTTGTATGATTAGATACATGTTGGTCTGGAGTGGGTAGGCGGGTAATTGAGTTTGGACGATGCCTGGTAAACATAAAGGTAAAAAGGAAAAAAGGCCAGGCATGGTGGCATAGGCCTGTAATCTCAGTACTCAAGAGGCTGAGGCGGGAGGATCCACGTGAGTTGAACTCAATAAGGCTAGCCTGGACTGCATAGCGAGACCCTGTACAGAAAAAAAAAAAGAAGAAGAAATGAAGACTATTACAGATCACACACTCAGATCTCCAGTAACCAGCCAAGTTCCTTCCCAGAGTCTTAATTGCTCTTTCTAATTGCTATTTCTAGTTTTCAAGTTGAGCTTTATGTAAAATCATGATTTTTAATGTTGACAGTGAATTCACATAGGATGAAACCAGGTGTATTTGTCTGCCTTTTAGACCTCTGCCCTAAGTTAAGAAATCTACAGAATAAATAATGAGATTCAGCATGAGTGCGGAAGGGAAGGTGGTAGAGGAGATATAAAGACAGTGATCAGAGAAAGAATTTCAAAATGCAGAGATTTTTAAACAGGTGATACAACTTGATCTCGTTCCTGAGGTCCGATTACTTGGTAGGCATTTTCAGAAGAATATATGTTATTTACACAAAGATAGATTTCTAAAAGTGAATGCCTCATTTCTTCCAAAAGTACTCTTCAGGTGTTGCCTATTTCTATAGTACTTTTCTTGGTTACAGAGTCTGGAAGTTAGTCCATGAACCACCTGTATGAAGAAGACACTATTTATTACTTTTTATATATGCAAAAGTTGAGCCTGGGGATTTTCTGGGGCCACAGTGTAAGAAATGGTTTAGCAAGATCCTGTCTCAAAATAAAGGAGAAGAGGGGGTTGATATGCAGCTTAGTGCAAAGGCCCTGGGTTCAATCCCCAGTACTACCTGCCTACCCCCTAAAAAAAAAATGGAACTGGGATTCAAAACCCTAGATGTTTGGATTGCAGAGTCTTTGTGTCATTCCCGTGCTCTAATCTTCAGGGCTCCCTATGGCACAGGCTGAACAATTAAATGACACAGGAACCTCTCCAGGCAGGATAAGCATTGGCAACATATATAAAAGCTGGGGACAGAGATTGTGTAGAGCAGTGGTCAAGACTGTTGCTTCATATTAGAGTCCTCTAAGAAAGCTTTTAAAATTCATATGATGCCTTATGGAGCCCTCCCAAACCAGCCAAAACAAAACAGAATAGGAGCCAGGATTGGCATTAGATCCTCCACAGATGATCCTGCTATACAGCTGGGGTTGAGAACCATTGATCTAATGCATTGGCTATGTTGGGGAAGAAGGGGGGAAACAACAGGAGGATGTATTAGTGAAAATGTAGGTTATTTTGACATTTGTTTTTTATTCTTTGGTCTTTGTATGTTTCTGAAGCCATGCATTGTATTCTGCTGACAGGTGAATGTGCCAAACAAAAAACCAAATCTGAGTTTAAATACACTGTGTAGACTAACTGGAACAGGAGAGCAAAATGAACTCAGTAGTATGCAGTGGTTCTTTTAGTATTGGATGTAAATAGCCTTAATGCACTGGGGGAAACCATTTAGGATGCTGGTTTGGATTAGGGTGTTACTTTGTTATCTCTTCCTGGATATAGTTACACCAGTTATAAACAAAGTGTATATTTTGTTGTAACTGACTTTCCCTTTGTTTCTTTTATTATAAGTAGACAATGCTTGTGTATAGACTATATGTCTGAGTGTGTAAATATATGTGCTTTTTTAAACCCAAAATATGTGCATAGCTGGGTTATATAGGAATTATGGTATAGTACAGTATTTATAAAAATATGTCTTATAGAAAGGAGCATTAAATCTGATATTGTAACTACTGATTTCAAATAAAAGGCTCAGTTGAAGCTAGTTTTTAAGACAATATTATTCTTCATTGATGTAGTTCAGTGGGGGTAGTCTTAAAATTTTCTCTACTCTTAGGGAGCTTTCCAGATGTAGTCTGGATAGCCTGACCATTTGTACTTTGGAAACCATGCCAGTTTGAGCTTTTGAAGGATAGCTTTTGGACCATGCCGTGAAAGTTAGGCATGCGTAACTTCTTCATTGTTCTTTAAGAAATCCAGTATTTAAAGCTAGTTTGGACACCCCTGTGTCGCCTTTAGACTGTGTTTACTTAATTATAAGGTTTAACTTTTCAAGGTTGGTAAAACTGTATCTAAGTGTTAATTTCTTTCAGATTTACAACAGTTAATGATTTTGTCAGAATCCCAACTGTCTATTACTTATGGTTTATTGATTGTTGTAATTTTATTGTGAAAGCATGACCCTTTAAAACATCGTAGAGTCTCAGTAGAAAACTTTAACTCAGGAAAGGAAACGAACGATTAAAAAGATGTGCGAACTGTTGGGTTTCTCTGGAAGTTTCTATTGGTCCTAGAGAACATTAAGAATTGTTTCCAGGCCTGGTGGTATAAATCTATAATCCCAAGCACTGTTGGAGGCTGAGGCAGGTAGATTGCAAGTTTGAAACCAGCCTATGCAATTTGGCAACTAGTGAGACTCTTATCACAAAGTAAAAAATAAAGGGGGGGGGGGCCTGGGAATATAGCAAAGGTCCTGGATTCAGTCTCCAGCACTGGAAACAAACAAACAAAAATATATTTTGGTGTTTCTCTTTCTGAAGTAAAGTGCACTTGGTATGTCATTGTTATAAATAACAAGGCATTTTTTGAGTCAGGTACATTGTTAGTCATGGAAGTTACCATACAAGAAATATTCAGTTTTTTGGTATAATCTTTTGTGCGCTATAGAGAAAAACCCTGTTCTTCCTTGTAAAATATTTAGGTTTTAGAAGCATTAAAACAGGGGCTGGAGATTTAGCTTAGTGGTTGAAGTGCTTTCTTGGTAGGCACAGGTCATGAATTCAATTCCCGTACAAAAGAAAAAGGCTGGGGATTTGGCTCAGTGATATAAGTGCCTGCCTGGCAAGCGTGAAGTCATGAGTTCAATCCCCAGTACAAAAAAAAAAGTGTAAAAACAGTGTTTGCATACCTTTTGGCTCTCCGAAAATAGTGGTAGCTACTAGCTAATAGTAACACGTTAATTTTTCTAGATTTAAAATAATTATCTTCTTATGCTTACTGATCTTCTCTCTCCTTATTTTTTTCTTTCTGAATTTAGTATATAAAAAGTTGAACTTTGCTGCTAAAGATGGCAGACCCAGATGTCCTCACCGAGGTTCCGGCGGCATTGAAGAGGTTGGCCAAGTACGTGATCCGAGGTTTTTATGGCATAGAGCACGTGTTGGCCTTGGATATCCTGATTCGGAACCCCTGTGTGAAAGAGGAGGATATGCTGGAGCTACTCAAGTTTGATCGGAAGCAACTTCGATCAGTTTTGAATAATTTAAAGGGAGACAAGTTCATCAAATGCAGAATGAGAGTAGAAACTGCCGCAGATGGGAAAACTACTCGCCATAATTACTACTTTATCAATTATCGCACACTTGTTAATGTGGTAAAATATAAACTAGACCACATGAGAAGAAGGATTGAGACGGATGAGAGAGATTCCACCAACCGGGCTTCCTTCAAATGTCCTGTGTGTTGTAGTACTTTCACAGACCTAGAAGCTAATCAGCTCTTTGATCCCATGACAGGTGAGTCTTAATCCAGTTTGTGAATCAAGTAAATAAGATGTGAACCCATTTTCTTAAATTGGTTCATCTAGTTTTTAAGCCAAGCATGTACCTGTTAAAAGTGAATGGACTGCGGTGGATCAGCAGTCGGTTTTAGTGATACCTGGTTGTTTATGCTTTGAGGTTTTGCAAACTTCTTCTTCACAAGGGAGCAGATTTGTCCAAGGGATTTTTCTACCCATGGTTTTCCTGCTTCTGCCCCTACCCTCACTGACTACTGAGCACTGTAGCCTGTCTGAAGGATTGGTTGCTACCAGTCTTATGCTAGTCTGATTTTGCTTTTTACTTCTAGCAAATATTTGAGCACCCATTTATGCCATTCTCTACAGATCAGATAGTTACAATACATTGTATATAAATGCTTTGTCAGTTGAAGTAAATAGTGCTATCAGGAGTACACAATTAGGGCAAATAATTTGGATTTAGGGAAGGTCTATGGGAGAAGTTACGTAACAGCTGAGACCTAACGGGGTAAGAATTACTCTGATAAAATAAGAAGGGAGGCTTTTCCTAATTAACTAATAGATACTGCCTCTTAGACATGCACTAAAAGAAGAGAGTTTCAACAGCATGTGTAATTCACCTCATATAACACATATTTTAGTTCTCAGGGTCATTCTTTTCAATACAACTTAAATTTATTTTCCAAAAATCTAATATGTCTAGCATTAACATAAGAAACTTCAAAGTGCTGGGTTGTAAGAGTTATTTTGTATTGTTTTTAAACTAGATAAAAGACAGTAATTAATTGTCCAAGAGATCAATTTTGCCTTATTTTCTAGAAGTAGAAATCTTTAGAAGCATTCATGCTGTTAAATTAGATTATCTTTTTGTTGTGGTGGAATTTGAGAGTAGAGGTTGGTTAACTTTTAAATAGTTTTCAGTTTTTAACTAACAATTTAATTTTTAATAATTGAAAATTTTAATAATTTTTAAAATCTTACATTGAAAAATTTAAATTTTTACAGAAACATTTTGTTTTACAAAGTACATATTTGTATACATGTTTAATTTTCTTTTTTTTTTTTTTTTTTTTTGGTCTTTTTCGTTTTTATCGGTACCAGGGATCGAACTCACGACTGCCTGCTTGCAAGGCAGGCGCTTATGTCGCTGAGCTAAATCCCCAGCCCCTAATTTTCTAATTTTTGTATAAATTATGTAAGGTACATTTTAAAGAATTCAAAAAATTTTAAAGTAACCCCAAAATCAGTTTAGATTATTACCAAAAAGAGTTATTAAGCCGGTGACTTTTATTTTGTCTTTATTTTCTGTGATGAATATTTTTGGATGAAAAAACTCAAATAATTGTCATGTTGTTAAATATTTGTTTGTACGTGTTTATCCAAAAAGTTTTAATAAGGAGAGACCTTGGTTATAAAAAAAGTCTTAACTATTCTTGTTGTAAGAATTGCTTGAATGCTCCATAAAGGAGGAAGATTGCACAATATATCTAGAACTCTTTTATAGCAGACTAGAAAGATCTTGTGATTTTTGCCATTTACTCTAATAGATTTCTTAAAGAGCTATGGGTTTTGGTTTTGTGATTCTCTGCAGATGTTGGTGTTACAATGGCCCTGTCTTCATCACTCTTGACTTCAATGGAAGGTGTTATCAAGTTCCTCAGAGATGATAATCTTAAGTAATATGCTTCTACTACATTTATTTATCATTTGAGTCTTAGTTAATTCATGAAACTTTCTAAAAGGAGGTGAATCCACTACTTGTATGTCATTATTTAGGAGACTGATCTAAGATGCCCTTTGAATTTTACTATGTTTAGTGCCTAAATGAAACTGCTTTTGAAAGAACTAGCCTGATAATCCAGATAGAGTCAGAGTCACTCGAATCAGTGAGTTGAGATAGGAAAAAAGCGACAGAAAAACATTTGTTTGGAAAGAAAGCTAAAAGGTATCTGCAGTCATACTACCCTAAACCTAATCTTGTCTGAAAGAAAGCTTACATGGTGAAATGTGTACTGTGATCAGTCTAAACAACAACGTATTTTTAACGGGAGGAATGGTCCATATGAAGGTAGAAAGGAGGAGTGTTGGGAGCAAGGAAGTATCACTCACCTTGATTTGCCCAGCTGGAAGGTTCCCTGAGCAGCCTGTGCTGCAGCCTATTTGGTTGGCAGTTCTTTTCCCATAGTAAAAGCTGAGTTATCGTGATTGAAAATTTGTAATGACTAGGGACCCTAATTCTGAGAATGAACCCACCTTTTGATTTTGATTTAGACTTCACTGAACTTTTTTTGAAAAACAAAATGTGCTAATATGTTGTTAAGCCCAGTCTACATACTTAGTTCTGGTGTTTTAGGTTTTTTGTTTGTTTATTCTTTTAATAAAAACATTGTCTTAATACCTTTATTCTCCATTGATCTGTGCATTGTCTTTGGAAATCTACAGTATTTCTCATTCCTCTTTTTTTGCTTAATTTCCATTCTCTTTTATGAAGATGTGAAATAAATATTTGGTATAGGAAATATTAGCAGGGCAAAGGGAGATTTTTCTGCTTGTCTAAACTGGTAGACTACAGTTTTCATGCTAACCTCAGTCCTATATAAACCTGTTCTATTTCCTGGCTGCTATTGGAGATTGATATTATTTCTGAACTGAATAGCCAATAATTAGGCTAATAGCTGGCCTCTGTTTTTATTCCTTATTCAGCAGATCTAAGGTTAAACTGATTTATCTCCACCATTAGGGAACATTCAAAAATTAAATTTGCAACCTTCTGGACTTTATTGGTTTTCTGATAAAAAGTTCTTAACTCTGTGGGGAGCTTTTGACCACCAGGCAAACAGTGGTCAGTTCCAGGCTCAAGGTTGTAAGCTTAGAGCAAATTGTTTTACCAGTGTTAACTGACGCACAGGCTAGTGATCTCCCTTTTGCAGTTTATAGCTTATTTCTCCAACTTGCCTTTCCAATTTTGCGTCTGGTGTTCACTCTCTTTAAATAGACTTAGCATTTCAATTTTAGCAGTCTCAGCCACGGGTTAGTTAATGGCACTTCTAAGTTAAGTTCAGCAACATGTCATACTTCCTTTTTAGATGTTAAGTGAGATGGAAATAGCTTTGTATTTTCCATTTTTAATTTAAATTATACAGCCATAAATCAAAAAATATGATAAAAGTCACCCACAAACCTACCGTATTATCTTTAGCATCTTATTTTTAGTTTTAATCATAGTACAGAATAGTTCGTGATCTCTTGCTTTCTTAACATACCAAACTGTTGATTCTATTTAGTGTTCAAAATGTGTTTTAATAAGAAATATTCCTGTGTTTCCTTCCTACTTCTTTGATTGTATCTGTTTTTTACTGATATGTCTATCTTTTTTTTGTTGTTGTTGGTACAAGGGATCGAACTCACGACTACGTGCTTGCAAGGCAGGCGCTTAAAATGCTGCTGAGCTAAATCCCCAGCCTCCACCTTTTATTCCTGTTAAGTTTTTCCTTAAAAATTTTGTAGGCTATATTACTGAATTTATCTAGAGACCCCAGAATCTCATTTTAAATAAACTTTGAGATGAAAGATAATTTGAATTTTTAAAAATAATATAAGTATACATTTAGCAAATCCTAAAAATAGAAATTGAGAGATTGTCTAGTTTAACTCAAAATGATGTTTGTGTGGGTGTCACATGTATCACTCCTATGTTGTACTCTTACATTTGCAGGTCTTGCAAAGTAATATCATGCATAAATGTACGAGTACATGAAGTACTGGGGTTCTACGTTTGTGAGTCTCCCAAAGACTTGTTAATAATGTTTGCCTTCATAAAGAGGCTACTTTTTCCTGCTTTCATGTCTCACATGTTGGACAGGAGATGTTTTCTGTAAGCAGTGCTTTGAGTTCCTGAAGTGCTGAAAGTACAAACAAAAAAGAAATCGTAAGATTGTTTGCTTATTTGCTGAGGCCTCAGTCTTCTGAAATTTTACCCGGGATGACTTAATTTAGAAATTATACCAGAAAGCCAAAGGGCTGCACTTGGTTGGGGTATGAAAGAATCGAAAAGGTGATTGTTAGAGTAAGTTGAATGAATATATAAAAACAAATTATGGAAAATAGTAAGTTACAAGTGTCTTTTTTCATCTCCCCTCCTCTATCTCACGCCTTTTTTCTGTTTTTTTAAATTGTGTTTTTCATTTTGAGAATTTGAACTTTGTTTTTTAAGCTTTCATGTTTTTTCTCTTTTGTCTTTTGATGCTAAAATAAACCTCCTCTATTTGTAGAGTTACTTTCTTGTTTTGGTGCTGGCATACAGTACTAATTTGATTATTGTCTTTCAAATATTCATGTCAGGACCACAGACTTTTTTAGTTTCTTCAGAAGCAGGGATTGAACTCAAGGCCTTTGCACTGAGGAATATCCTCAGCCCCTTTTTAATTTTGAAATAGGGTCTCACTAAGTTGTGCAGGTTGAGTTTGAACTTCATCTGCCTGTCTCAGTCTTGCAAAGTGCTGAGTTTATAGGTGTGCACCACCATGCACTGCATTAAAACCACAAACTTTTTAAAATTGTCATTTTTTTTCCTCACCCCTAGGCATAGGACAGTTTTTACCCTTCATAGTGAGTTCTAGAATTTAGGGGAAAAGTACGAACAGAAGAAATCTAGGTAAATGCCCATCTGAGGGAAGAGAAGTCAATTCCATTGACAAATTTAGTTTTTTGAGGGGGAAGAGGAGATTGTATTGGGTATATCATTACTACACGAGATTTTCTGAATTTACAAAAATACTAAATCTGCTGTTTTTGACATTTAACATGCCCACCAATATTTTTGTAGTCTTCCATATTCTGCAGTGAATTATTAAGTAGTGATTTTTCAAATTCTTTTTTATTATAGGTAAGTAACTATTTTGCTGTTATGTCTGTTACTATTAGCTAATAGCAGTTCTTTTTTCTTTATTTTTTTCCTTATCCAATTAAACTGAGGAAATTTGCTTTATGAAAATAGTT